GTGTCTGTGGTGTTGTTGGTATTGTTGGTTGTTGGTGTTGTTATTGACGGCGGTGGTGGTGGTGTTGGTGGTTGTGGTGGTGGTGGTGGTGGGGGCGGTGGTGGTGGTGGTGGTGGTGGTGGTGGTGGTGGTGTTGACCTTGTTGGTTGTGGAGTGGTTGATGGGTGATGAAGACGTTGTTGTTGTGGTTGGGGATTATTGTTCTTCTTGCTCTTGTTGCTCTTGCTGTTTCGTTTGCTTTCCACTGTTGGGAACATGCGCAGAAAGCCAGGTAGACATGGATGAAGAGAACCAGACAAAGGGAGCACAATCCGTTAGGCCAGCAATGTTTATCAACAATATTACCGGGACACCGGTTTTTAGTGGTCCCCTACTTTACTGCGGGAATTTGGCCAGCTACTTTGGAAAGGTGCGAAAGACGAAACGCTTGTTGATCCGAACGTAGAGGATGATTGGTTGGGTTGCTCCAAGCAAGAAATCCAGAATAGAGGTTTTTGGGACCCGTCGTACTTCGCGAGGGGGCCGTGATGTTGAGGACCTGACATGGGCCTTTCACTGGATGTGGTGATCCTTTGTTTGACGAGACGCTCGTGTCGTGCGGCTATTTGTGTGTGTGCGTGTGTCAAAATGACGCACACACAAACACACCCCACACGCTGCACGGCACTCGCCACGCTCCACACATCCCACCCCACATTCTCTTCATGCCATATACCAGCAGCAGGAGCAGCACCACCGCCGCTGCCACCACCGCCACAAAGCAACTGGTTGTAGATTTTTGCCTTTGTCGTTTTTGTTCATGATCCCTTGCTATCAGCAAATAATTGCTTAAGTCTGAACCAGTGTTGGGCAACATCTTGGGTTCACCCCAAGCTTTACCCTCTTTGGCTTTACAGCGAGAGCCGCAGGCAGAGCTTCGGGCCTCTCAGTTGAGGCAGCGTGTGACGGCAGAGGCGTGCGTTGGGATGCCACCCAATCACTAACCGGAGTGATGCTTCCTGGAAGACAGTTTCCTCTGAAGGCTTATAAGCTCAATAGTTGTGGAAGGTAACACATTTGCGATTGATGCATGTGCCATGGTTGCATGACTTGGGTTAACATATGCTAGTTCGTGACACTATTTGCGAGGCAGCGCTTTGAACAGGCAGTTGGGATTGGCGCTTATGCAACAGGAGCTGGCTGCACTGCAGCGGCAAGCGGAGGAGGATGCAGAGGCAGCAAGGAGAGCGATGTTGAAGGACCGGCCATTTGAAGCGCAGCAAAGGTCGGAGGAATTTGGCAGCTCGACGTGAAACACATACGGTTTTAGAAATCAGCTGGCAGGATGTCGCCTGCCCGAGTTTTGTGAGAAGATGTGAGAAGGGCGCGAAGCTTGACAGGAAATTGAGAGGCGCCTCCAGGCAACCAACAGCTACGTCAAAGCCCCACTGCAGCGGCAGATGAAGGCCAGCCGCACCTGTTGTGCTTTCAGAAAAGTTCGAGAGACCCTTCCAGTATGTCTAAGTCCCATGCACTGGGAGCGAAGAGCTCAGGGTTCTCGGTTGCGTACAGGAGTTGAGCCCGCAGAGCCGGTGTCATTTGGGCAGTCTTTTCGCAAGCCCGCCAGAGGACCCCTGCAGCCTTGCCTGATGGATCCTGCCTTTGAGTATGTTCCATCGGGATGCAAATGTGTGCCCCATGTTCTCTTGCTGAGGAGTTCCTTTCAAGGAATACACTCATTCTGGGGGCAATCCTGGCTTTTTACCTGCTATTTCCCAAAATCACCGCGCATATTTGTGTTGCCCACCGGATACAAAGGAAACGGGTCCCAGCATTCGCATGCGTGAGGCTTTGTACTGGGACCACTGGACCAGGGCGCTGACCAACAGGCACTCACAGAAGTTGCAGGCGGGGGGTTCGATGAGTCCAGGTCCTGGAGGCCCATGGATGCGATGGGGAAACCGAAGGAACACAGACCATTTCCAAGGCGTTGATTCCCACGACGTCGCGTTGAACTGCCAAGCACGTTTTGTTGAAACATGTAGCATGGGGAACACTCATTCTAGTCAAAGAATGAGTTGGGATTTGATTGGTTGGGAGGATGCAAAGATGTCCAAGTCTGCAGGGGCAGACTTTGGGCAGGCAGTTGCCTGACCTTGAAACGGCTGAACTAGCAGGGGGCCTGCCAACATACTTGGCAGACCGAGTCTTCTAGCCCCGGTACAGATGCAGCACCCTGCCTCGCCTGGTGTTGTCTTTGATTCACTTCTGTACACGTTACTTACATGGTTGACAGGCTAATCATGTGACCTTGCAAACATAATGTCTAATTGAATATTCATCAGACAGACTTCAGCATGAAACAGTCGCTTACTCGACTTGAATGACTCGTAGTAGCTACCAATTGGCTCAATTTGACTCGTTTTTTGCGACGTCCGCCCGAGGAGTCGGAGCGCCTGCGCCGGGAGTTGGAGGAGGCCCTCAGGGACGCCCAGCACTCGCTGCGTCGCAGCGAGTGGCTCGGCACGCGCAGAGCTTTGTGCGCACGGGCTGGGGCGTGAGCGGCGGGAGCAATTGCCGAAAGTGTGTTGTGTTTGTTAGGGGGGATGGTGCACCTCCACCTTTCTCATGGTAGCAATGCTTTTTGTCGCACATCAAATCCATGTAGTTTCCAAATATATTTGGAAATTGTGTGATGCTGGCTTCACCAGGGTCAGATATTGAGGTTGTCCACTGGGCCATCCGCATGAACCCAAGTCCTTGAGCAGAAAGAGGCTTTGACTTGCAACGATTTGCAACGATGAGGATTCCATTTATCCTGGCATGTGCTCTGAGTTCGAGCATAGGGGCGGGAACGCAGGCAGATGCAGTGTGTGTCCCATGGCAGAAAGGAGCGAGTGGCGGCAAAAGCATCAGCAAGCGGAAGGCCAATGGAGCATCAAGCTTTCGACTAGCCAGGAGGACGGAGTTTGGGCTGCTGTGCTCTCATGTTCTGGTAGCATATCTCTAGACAAAGCGAACCATCCTTATTTAAAGGTGCAGAGACCTGATGAAGGAGTGGTCCGTCTCTTTGAAGCAATGCATGTTATTCAAGAGCAACTTCGCGCGCTTTGCCTTGAGCATGTTGCAGGGCGGATTCGACTTGTCGTGAATTGGTTCCTGGCGTGTTTGGAGGGCCACTTGCGGAGCAAGGAGCGCGACCGTCTTGAAGAGCAGTGGCGCCATCGCCTGGACCAGTTGCGAGTGGACATGGAGGAGGAGCGGCGAACTTGATAAGGTTGAGCGCTCAGAGAGGAGGGATATATCATGAGACGTGTCCTTATTTGATTCCAGCTTTGTGTGACTTGCAGCGTGCTTGACCTGCTTGGCGCAATATGTATTCGTGTTGCAGCTGCACAGGGACATGGAATCACTGGATGACAGGGATGACAAGGCACAGCGGGTTGAGAATTCCTCGGCGGACTTCGACTCGGTTGCTGGAAGGAGTGCTCGCGCCGCATGAGGAAGCTTGAGACCGACTGGCAAAGTAGGCAGGCCATTTGCACCGCGGGAGCATGCACCCCCGCAGAATCAGACAAAAACGAAGCGGGCCTCAACCATGCTACTTTGCTTTGTTCGGGATCAACTTCATGGAACAGACTCAAGGGAAAGAACCAACGTGGGGGATCGTACCAAACAACGCCAGGCTGGATCAGACGGAGGCCCAGTGGCGGAAACGCCTCACTGCGCGCGAGGAGGCGCGCTTTCGTGAAGGAGGCTTCAGATATCTTCAGATACTAGCTCCAAAATGTGAATTTGATTTCCAACAGTAGCAAAAAAGACCAATGCCTCTTCAGCCAGTGCTCCTTGGCATTTGCGAGCATGTCACCGAGAAAGAGTAACGAAGGAAGGAAAGCCCTTGATAGCAGGAGCTCGAGGCAAAGCTGAGAGCGGCCATGGAAAAATGGGCACCTTGGCTGCTGTTGGAGCGCACATCACATTACAATGTCCTGACGTCTCAGCTTCGCTGGTGCAAAGCCAAGAAGCTCTCCAGCCACTGTACGCTGCTTCTGTCGAAATGTCACCACCTCTTTGGCGGGGTGACATCTATTCTGCGCATACCCATGGTCCCCACAAGGAGCTGGATCGTGGGAAGCTGCAAGACACTCATGGCAAAGAGCTGCGCAGCTCCAAAGATGTGACGGACTTAGCGGAGCCTGTCAGCCGCTTGAGAGGTTCTGGCATCTTGCGCATAACCGGCCGCTTCAGCTCTGCTTTACACGGGGTGAAAGCAGATGGCTCTCCCTTTGTGTGGGGAACGGGGCGGAAGTGAACATGGAGCAACTGTGCCATCTACCTTCACCTTCACTCAACTGTAGGTCTTTGAACTGCAGCTTCAAAGAGTCCACAAGGATCACGAAGAGCAGAAGAAGCTGCAGGAGGCTGGATTGCAACAGCCGCGCCACCGAAACGGCTGCGGAAGTTAAGCATGTGCCAAAAGTTAGTGCCAGGATCTTCGGATCTTGAGATATGAAATGGCCAGGGCTTCCATGGCTCCTTGGTCCAGTCGGTCCGTAGGAGGAGAGTGTGCTGGAGCTGAAGAAGCGAGAGCTGATGCTGGAGGAGATGCAGCGACACCGCCTGGAGGCCGCGAGTCGGTACATGTAGGTACCGCCACACTGGGTTCAATGAGGGAATGGTGCCATATTCGGTGCCTATGGTGATGGCACCATATTGGTGCCCTGGTGCCCATTGTGGAGGTTGACCGCTGCATCGTCAATCTCGAATCCTTAATCCTTGTGTCAGATTGCGGTGAGCAGAGGATGAGAATGGGGGCCCGCTCAATGTCCCACAGAAACCAAGGGGCCCTCCCACATCCTCTTGGGGAACCATTAAGTTTGTCTGGGGCCATCAGAAAACAGTAGGAGATGGGCAAAGAAGCGAGTCGTAGAGAGTCATTTGCAGGTTGGCATTGAATTCTCGTTTTCGTGAGCAGTACCAGAAATCCTTGAAATGTCATGTGAGCGCACAGGTCGCAAGTCACAAGGGGTGGGCCGTGAAAGTGACTTCCGCAATTCCTTACCCTGCCAGGCACAGCAGCGTTTGCAATTGTCCGCTATGTCAGCGCTGTGCGGCAAATCCAACAAAGGACGCGCAGCTCTGCCCATCTTTGCCCAGCTCTGTCCGGCTTTGCCCAATATCCACTGAAAGTTGGACTGCATTTGACTTCATTGAGCTGAGACCAGGAAATGCATTTTTGTGTGACGGCTATGTAATCCAATGAGCCTGAATCCCGGGTGTAGGACTGCTCTCGACCGGCTTCAGGGCATGGGACATGTTCCGGAACCAGGCGCGAGCAGGCCACGTGTGGCGAATAATTCTAAGCTTGCAGGACACACTTCTGGTTGGCTTCCAAACGAGCTGCATCGTTTTGGGAGACAACATGTTTTGTGCGGGTTGCTGGAGTGGCGGGCGGTTTGGCAATGTCAGCCAGGCAAAGCAGGAAAAAGCTGACAATGAGAAGGAACTTGCCCTGCGAAGGAAGGAAGATGAGCTCCACGCTTTGCGCCTCCATTGCATGCAAACCTGGCTTGCTCCTTTTTTTGCGTCATTCCTGCCTTCGTGGTGCGCAATTGCTTGCTGGTTCCTTGTGTAAAGGGCTATGTTTGAGCATTCAGCGCCAGCATGTACCAGCTGCTAGTAGCTGAGGCAGAATGAGCACGAGGCCTTGCATCGGAAGTTGCAGGCCAGTCTGTGCCTCGGGCACTGCGTGAGCTCATGACAAAAACACATTTATTGTTGTCAAGCGCAAGTTTGCCTTTTGTGTGACTCAGACGTGCCCTTGCCCGTCAAAGGGGTCCATCAGGGGACGTCATTTTGACGCCGCTATTCCAGCCAGGCGCACGAGGGCAACTTCGCTTTGCACACGCAGCAGTGCCGCTACGAGGAGGGGCAATTTGCCAGGGTTGAGTCTACAAACGGTTGTGCTGCATCAATACCCGCAACAGACGCATAGTAGGTTTAAGCCATGTGAACCAAGGTGAAAGAGGGCAATGCCCAAATAACATTAACACATGCACATGGAATGAATACAAACGGGCGGCCCGAAGAAAACAGCAAATGCACCTGGAATAAAGTCAAGCAATCCCCCTTGGCAGCCACAATTTGATACGTATATATATATACAGGAGGAAGAGAGAAAGAAGGAGAGGAAAGGTAGGCAAAGCCTGTTCCTTGGATCTTCGGAAACCCAAGACGTTGTTCGAGGTACTCCATTTGTAGGGAGGGGGGGCCTTTGCGAACCTCAGATGGCATTACCCTCAAGAAACAGAAACTTGGTGCCCCTACTTTCTGGCGGCTGATGCAAGTGCGATGCTGTCATGCGAGGCTTGTGATCGCGCAGATCGTTTACTGGGAGGCGAGGGTGCGTTCTGGTTGGGACATGTTGAGGCACTCATTACCCGTTGTCAAATGAAAGGTTTCACTTGACTTTGCCAGGTTCTCCGAGAAGATTCTAAGATCTAATGAATAAGTAAGAGCCAGAGCGCAGTGCTTGTAGCAGGGATGAATCAGCATTGTCCTAGCGTTTGTTGGAGCTTGCCGCATGGGGGCGTTTCACAGGCGATGGCATCAGCCCACTGGAGGCGCGCAACACCAGCGGGCCAGAACTTCATGAACTTCATGGTTTTTTCAGAGTCCTCATAGTGCCCATGGTTTGGTTCCTTTTTTGTTTCTGGTTTCTTGGTTTCTTCTTGCTTCTTTCAATCGGAACCTCGACTTATTGAGTTGGCTCGCGCTTCTTCTTGCTTTCAATCGGAACCTCGACTTTTGACTGTGGCTCGCGCGGCTGAGGCGCTGCGCCTGAGCCAAGTGCTCAGCGCCTGGCTGCTGGTGGCCACAGCGCTGCACTGGGCCAGGGCCCGAGAGCTGCAGGCTGGCCAGGTGCGGAGTCCGGAGCCGGCGTGGGGGGCTGGGGGGAGGCTGGGTGGGAAGGGGTGCCCACCTCCCAGGGCAAGGGTTTTTGAGGGAGGCACCCGCCCCACCCGCACCCCGTGTATCCCCTATCTTTGGTTTTGAGAAGCCCTGGACAGGGAACCTTGACAAACCTTGTGCTTTTGGCCTCAATGTCGCTGGAGAGATTGCTGGGGGTTGCTTGCAAGTCTTCTGACATTGAGTGGATCTTGCGAAAGGAATCAGAGGGCTTATCAATCTGAGCATTAAGTGGCCAATAGCTTTGCCAGTGGTTCTGTGGCCAAGTAGATGTTGCAACATTGGAGCGGTAGTTCTGGTTGGATGAACCTGAAAAGGCAAAAAGGAGACCACCGATTGATTTCCTTCTTTTGGTTTCCATCCCAACGAAGCACGTCGATTTGCGACCGCTAGGCGGACCAGCTGCGGCTGCAGCTCGAACAGCTGCGCCTAGAGAACCAGAACTCCTCAAGGAGCTTTCGCAGAGTCGGAGACAATCACAGTTGGCTTCTAGCCTGAGTCTCCATGAGCCTTTCAAAATGGGGTTACTCAACAGAAAGAGGTGACCCCATTTTTTGAGGGGTCATGGAGTTCTTTGGAAATGGTCCTTTGTATCATGCCAGGCTAGGAAATATATACAGGCAGAAATACTGGTATTGCGGTTTATTGGTGGGATCCTTTATCAAGACCCATTTAATACGCTTTGTTTTGTGAGGTTGTCAAAAACTTGGGCCCTTTTCTGGGATCCGCATGTTTCCCCGTTTCGCATGATTCAGCATCTTTTGGGGCCATGTCAAGTGAGTTTTCTGGTAGAAAGCGAATTGTCCTTTGCGCAATTTAGGGGCCTTGGACAGCTATGGGGGGTCTGGTATGAACAAACTGGGTTTGACCGCAGGTCGTGTTTTGGGTGGCAAGAGACGAAAAAGCTGCGAGGGCACAGCTGCTGAGAGCGCGGGAGCTGCGGCAGTATCACGCAGCCTGCCTCAGAGGGGATATGGTTCGTCACCCTACAATAGCGCAAGCATTTCTTGCACATCTTGTTCTGAATTGCTTTCATTGCCCGCTGCCCACGTCGTGGATTTCTTCCTGTCACGCGTGTCCACCTGCATCTCGAATGTCTGGATTATGGATACCGATGTACAGGAAGTGAAAAGTGCTACCCAGGCAATACGGCTAGACTCTGGCTATCCCTTAGAGCCTTGGGGCCTAATTTTAGATAATCAGAATTGCCCCGATTCCACGGAGTTGATCGGAAAGAAACGAGTATCAACGTGAAGTCTAACCGGCCCTCCCCCTTTGCACCCTCTTCTTTTCCAATCAACAAGTTAGCCAGGTTTGTTCTTGTCAAGGCTACCTGTTGGAGAGACGGATGGGCCATTTTGAAGGTATGCCAAATGTCTTGGCCTGCAAAGCAGTCGCAACGCCGATCTGAGGCTTTGCTGTCCCGATTGCTGCGAGCCTGGCTGCACGTGAGCTTGCGCGGGCGCATGGAGGCACGCTGGAGGGGAAGGGGCAATGGCAGGGCGCTTTTCGGGGTAGCTTGAGGTGTTTTCCAAAAAAATGCTATCCAATTCGAGCAGGACCAAGGCCAGGCCGTAGCCACAGCAGAAGTGTTTTGGCACAACGCACTGGCAGATGGATTCAGCAAACTACACGCTCAAATTCAAGAAATGTCCTTGCCTTTCGGGAATTGCAGGCGCAAAGCGAGACGGCTGAGCGGCTCGCCAGCAACCTGCGTTCGCGGCAGGAGCTTGGTGCAAAGACAGTGCCGGATGTGGCGGAAGTAGGATCAAATCAAATCTTTGGTCCGTCATAGTTCCTCAGTTCTCATGTGCATGACATTCTGCTGTCATGTCGATGTGTACCCCGTTGTAGTCGTTCTTGCCCGTCCACCAAATTTGATCAGAACAAGTTTGATCCCACGAGTTGTCCCTTGACCTGAAGTTTGATCCTTCAGCTCCTTTAAAAGAAGCGCAATCGGCCCTCGCGAGGACTTGCTGCTGCAGCGCAGCTCCGATGCCTTCGGCCGAAACCTGGCCAGGCGGAGAGAGTGGGTAAGGGAACGGCGAATGTGCGGAAGCGATGAAGGGGTTGGCCACACAGACTGGAACCGGCTTCTTTGTTTTGCCGCATTTTTGTGTGGAGTTTGCAGCCAGGCCTCATGTTTTCAGGTAGGCCGCCAGCCAGGCATTTGAAGTGGTCCAGCTTTCAGAACTGGCACAGCAGGCAGGGCATTGGAATCCGCTCGATTCGAGCCATGGAAGGGCTCATACGCGTTCAAAAAGAGAACCAAATCAAGATAACGTTATGTAAGTTATGATGGATGTGGCAGGCAAGCTCGCGAAGATGTCAGATCCAAGAGTTGTACGCACATACATGCCCCTTCAACAACTCGACCGGTTGAAGATGTTGTTGGAGCAACATTGACTGTGAAAGTATGGGAACAAGGGAAATACATGTGTTGCAATTGTCATGCTAGGCCCCCGATAGAAACGCGCACAACACACTAAGTTTCAAGCACGTGCAGTTACACCCTTACAAACTTGATGATGCTAGGAACATGATTGAATAAAGCAAGCTCAGTCTCCAGTTTGAAGACCCAGGTTGGAAGCCAAGCACTTGCTGCACGGCTGCAAGGGTGCGTACCAGGCACAGAGTGAGCCGAGCCGAGCCGAACCTTTGATTTGAATTTTGCGGGTTTACTCAAAGGGCCCGAGTCAGCAGGCTTAGCATTTTGTGAGGGCCTCAGTCACTGAAGCTTTGTGTCACTTCACGGGCGCCCTCCTATGCGCCTGAGTTCCCTGAGTTCCCGCAAGCATCATTCCGTGCGTGTGTGTGCGTTTGTGTTTGCGTGTAGCCTGTTGAAGTATCAAAAGCCAATGCACGAATGGTAGTCATGGAATGCTGCTGGCCATCTGAATCCTGCGTTTGATGTTCAAAGCACCTTCCTGGTGGATAGCTCTTCCCAAGAGTCCCGCATGCCGTGAAAGTGGAGGCTCAGATGGAGAAGCTGGCCATCCAAATGCTTCGACGTGGTGATGAGGCTCGAGTTCTGATGTTGATAAGAGCTGCTGGTTTGGGCAAATTCCACGCTTTGTCTTGCTTGTTGCTTCCATTGTTGTTCTTCGTGCCGAATGTTGCATGCTTGTTGATTGCATTTCACAGGAAGCTACCCCATCACTCTTAACATGCTTGGTGTGTCTTTGGCAAGCCGGTGTGCTCTTTCTTGAAGTCCCTTTGGCCTAACGCACATTTTTAGGTATGCAACTCAGACTGTTATTAGTTGTTTACATATTCTCGGCACTCGTGCAGCGCAAAGCAAGTTTTGCATGGGCGCCTCAGCCACGAAAGCGGCTTGCTGTTGCAGAGTACAGGCGGCGCCGGTCAGCATGCTCGTTGCCTGGTCCGGTATCCAAAAGTCCTGATCGCCAGCGATTGCTTGAAACATCAGGGCGAATCTCTGCGTCATTCTGCGTTTGCCCGGGTGGTTGAGAATGTCTTTGATCTGCTTCGTGAAGCTGCGTGTTTTTGTTGTTGTGCGAAGCATGTTGGCGATTCATTGCTGGAAAGAGTGCGTGTGTTGTTGCTCGCAGATTTTGCCAGGCTTGACAGTGGTCAGTATGTTCACTGTCATTTGCTGTGGTACCACCAAACCACGAGTCTATGCACCTCTTGAGTGTCGCTTGCATGAGAGAAGTACTTGGACGAAGTTGATGCTTGAAATGCTTGAAATGCTTGAAATGGATGTCTGACTCGGGCGGATCGAGGTCTCGCCTGGCACGGCAGCTGCGCTTCGAGCGCGCAGCGCAGCAACTGCTGTCCAAGGCGTGGCAAGCCACGCGTACGAGTCACTGCATTCACTGCATACTACTGTCGATCTGTCGATTGCCTGGCTCCCTTTGTGGCTCCCTTTGTGGGTGCCTTGCTGGACCGCATGCCAGGTTGACTTCCTGCAGCGGTCCAGCTTGAATCGACGAGACGCTTTGCTTGTGAGGCCGGAGTTGGCAAAATCAAGGCACATGTGTGGACTGATTCTACCGCTATGCCACGCTTAGGTTTGCCCTGACTCATATTCTTGAGTTCATCACTCAGGATTTCAGTAGTTCCCATGTTTATTTCTCGATTCGGGCGGGCTGTCATGTTTTTTCGGACCCCCAAAATGGCAGTTGTCCTTCTCAACATTCCACAAGAAAGGTACCTTCAAAAACAGAGCCGGCCAATTGGTTTCATGTCTCCTGTTTCCAAGGCTGACAGTTTCGCTCAGGACCTTCGACCAGAACCTGCGCCAGGTGGCGCGCCGCGCCTTGACGGCCTGGTGGCAGGACCGAACTGCGAGATTGAGCGAATGTTCGAAAGAGAACTGGGAGTGTAATTTTGCCACAGGAAAATGCATTTGCACCCTGATGTGTTATTCTTTAACGGAAGGTTGCCCTGGCCAACAAAGTGTGCACATGCGGGGATTTCAGCCAGCATGGCTCAGACACTTGCGTCTCTTTGAGCACCTGAGCACACGTTCCTGAAGCCATGGAGCTTCGCATGGAAGCTTTGGAGACAAACTCCGCACACCGTTGCCAGCCATTAGCGCCAGCGAGCCGCTGCTTGCCATGAGGGACAAATGCCGCCCCTATCGGAACTTCATTGCTGCCTGGCTATTGAGTCATTTCAGGCACTGTGGGAAATCGGGATCTTTGTGCTCGCGGTCTTACATTGCATGGTTTGTCCTCTGCGCTAGAATTTGTAGTGCAACACCATGAACATGGACTGCATTCCCAGACTCGTCTCGCACCAGCACTTCGGCTTCGCACATGTCCCTCACTTGGGCAGAAACACTGAGACGGCATGATTCGGAGCAGCACGCCGTATGCGGCAGGTGGCACAAGGGTTGAAGTAGCCAGTGTGCGAGGGACAGTCATGGAGTTGAGCGCAACATGTTCCGCGTCACGCGCAGTTTGCCAAGGCTTTCTGGATCCTCGGCCTTCTGAACAACTTCCTTTGGGTGACGATGAATGCTGGAGCCAACAACATCAACGAGGCCTGTGCGGTCTTCACCTCCCAAGCCGCCTCCTTGTGGGCCGATTTTCGATCTGGGCCCCTCGTATTTTCAGCAACGAACCCGTGTCTCGGCTTTTCCCATATTAGTGTCCAAAGATCCGGCCGTGTGGGTTCAACGGGCTTGGTGCCTTGAGGCAGGCATCGCCTTGGTCTACTTGGCGAACGTCCTGCCCTCCCTACTGATGAAGATCACCGGACCCTACTGGTTCCATTACGTCAGCTACAGGCGCCTTGTTTGGAGACCGTCACTGACACGTTGCTTGAATATGGAAACTCATTGCGTCCAATTGCTTCCATGATAAGTGCTGTCCTGGAGGACCTGACACAGACATTTTGGCTCTTTAACCCTCCGCTTTGCGTGCATTTTTTTGGGGCATGGGTTCTGAAGGAACGTGCTCAGGTCTAAGAGCCTATTTTGGGGGCTGGAATCCATCATCAGGATGCTCAAGGGGCCTTCTGCTTGTCTCCTCCAATAAAAGGTTAGCCATGCTTCATGATGATGCCAGCATAGGCAAGGAGTTTGGCAACCCGAATCGATCATCGGGGACTAGTCTCGTCGGGGTCTTGGGGGAGACAGGTTGGAGGTTGTAGATACAGTACAACCTTGACTTGTCGCATTGAGTGGTTCCCTCAAGTGAAAGTGTAGTGGTTCCTTTTAGGCGAAGGGTTGAGTTCCCCTTTTCCATCATAGCTCGCCTCCAAATTGCTCCAGGTGCCGCATTCGCACCTTGGCGGTGCTCATGGTGATTACCCTCGTCACGGTGGCCTGGGGCCGCGACCCCCACGTGAAGCTGCTGGGCGCGCCGCGGATACAACCGAGAGCCGCCGAAACTGAAGAGCACCAGGGGACGGCCGCAAGGAATGTGGCACTCCGTTTGCTATGGGCTTTCATTTTAGCACCAATACACATCTAAACGGAAGCATCCCTTTTAGGAGTGGTCGCAAAACATATACTAGCATGTTTTTCTTCGAAGGCGAAGGCATACATGCAAGATCAGTACTTGCCGCATAGAACATGAATGACTTAGTTCACCATCTCAAAGGCTAACGTCGGCCAGGGATACCCAGAGTGCGGCCGTGAAATCCGTGCATTTCGTGAGGTGGCGATTTGTTCCCTGGCCTCGGGCGTCGGGGAGGCCAGCATGCTGGCCATGGCCTCCTTCTATGACCCCAAGGCGCAGTAAACTTACGGAGCCCTGCAAGGGAAAGCCAGGAGATGCCAGGAGACTAGAAGGAAACTGGATAAGAGGGACTCAAGTCAAGAAATAGGAAGGGTCCTTAAATGTGTCCAATTCCGATTTTACGACATTGGGCGCCTTTGGCACTTGCCAGCCCTGCCTGGCTGCCTGGTCCTCGGGCACCGGCTTCGCGGGCATCGCGGGGTACGTGTGGTCTCTGGCCTTCGACGGAATGGACCTCTGCTTCCAGGCGAGAGCTTCGGGTCGTAGCACGGCCTCATGGGGTTCATGATGCCTCCCTTCAACTGCTAGGTTACGATTACGTTTACAATATTCTAATCAAGGTGTACACAACAAGTAGGCCTAAATTTCATAAAGGGACACCGTGTAGGGTATTCAAACTGCACGAACAGGTCTCGAATTTAGACGTAACTACGAGCAATGCAGACCTGTAGCATCCGAGTTGGCCATTTCACCATCGGCCCGAAACATCAAGAGCTGACACTCCAAAGAGCAAAATGGCATGCTGCCAGCATGTCTACCTAGAAAAGGGCGAGCACATAGGGGCGAAGCATTGAGCAAGCATCAGATTTGACAAGATGCTGGCTCTTGCCGCGGCTGTGACTTGTCTTTAGCGTTTCCCAAAGCTCAAAGCGTGTCCCGCGTGGCTCACATTTTGGGTTGCGGAGTCACAGCAGAGATGAGCGCCCAATGGCTTTGGGGCACAATGGCTGAATTTTGAATCCGGGTCTGCCACAATCGCAGCCATGTAAGTTGCTTGTGTAGGGGATGTAAGGCTCCATGGCACGTGATAGATGTTTATGCTTGCGTTTGCTGGCTGATATGTTGCATTTGCCTTCCTTAAAAAACCTATACGCGGCAATGCCAAATCTGGTTCTTGGAGAAGATCGATCTACCTTTGTGGCTAGTGTCGGGCTGAGCACGCACAGCTTGAAGATGTGAAATCAAACACCTAGGAGCGCTCTTAGAGTTGAGAACAAGCTGCAGTGCTTGCTTTGTAATTAATTGACTCTGCAACATTATATAGAATGCGTTACGCCAGGTGCAGCTGATGGTGGCATTATGGATCCCCATCGCATGGCTGCTGACCTTTTTCAAGCTGCTGGGACCTCCATGGATCGATAAGGAGCCGACGTCCTTGGCTTTGCCAACATTTTGCACCGAGGGATGGTTTTCAAATGGAGAGCAAAAGGAACTATTGATGTGTTGGTCGCTGGCAACACGGTTTTTGCCAGAAGCCTCCACCAAAGGTTGCCGGAATGCGGGCGAGCACTCTGCCAAAGAATTGAATCGCTCGTTTCTCGGGGTGATGGATACACAGGCCTGGGCCCTGGCCTGTGACTGCTTCCCTCTCCCTGGAGACAAGGGCATTTGCTGCACCGCTTGGGCATGAGCTTGCCACTGCAAGGAGCGACAAACGGCAGATGCCGCCCTCGAGGAGTGCCAGGCTTGGTGATTGCTCTCTGCCGCATGCCCCTGTCACATGTCTTGACGAAGCGACCGAAGCGGCGGATAGGCCGTTGGGGCCGGGGAATCGCCGAGCTCAGACGACTCAGAAAGTGCCATCTCAGAAGGCTCCGCTTCCACCGAGCACAGTGAGTCGGAGGTGGCTACAGGAAAGCTCACATCAAAGGAGTGAGAGAGAGAGAGAGAGACAGAGTGAGAGAGAGAGAGAGAGAGCTGGCCAGAAGGAAGAAGACAAAAGCGGCACGTGTGCAAGGGATTCATGAGCCAAGACAAGATTTTGGGTCAGCTTTGCATTGGATGCGTGACAGGAGCGATTCACCTTTATTTTGAGTCTTTGGCCCTACACTCTGCCTTTGTTTGTGGTCTATGCGGCCGAGTACACGACGCTTGGCAGCAACGGCCGGGTATTGCCAGGTGTTTTTGGTTGTGCGGCTCGACAAGCCCCTCAGGATCCAGTCCGGCTTCTGGGCCGCCATGGGCTTCCCCGTGACCAACCATACATCGCGGGTGCACTGGTACAAGTGGTCCAACTTCACCTACCAGGTTGGCGTCTTCATCTCCAGGATGCCATCGGGCAGGGGGGAAGGAGGGAAGCGGGGAACAGATCTGCCGGAACAGTCCAGTGGTCAAACTTCCACAGCGCATAGAGACAATCACGGGAATTCCTGAACCATGACCAGCACGCAGAGGTGCGGCACGGTTGCTCTTCCAATCTCATTTCACATATTCCAGGAGCTTATTTGTGCTGATCTGCAAGAGCCGAAAGATTCTGTGGACGGGTGCCGGGCTGCAGATTGTCATGGCCGTGTTCTTTGGCCTAGCTGCAACGACGCCTGGCAGGTGTCCCGGGAATCGGCTTTCAAGGCCGTTTTGCTTGGTTTTGTAGTTACGCCTCCGCCTGACAGGGTACAAGCTGACCAGAATGCGACGCATTTGCGCCAGATGGCAGCCGTTCATGCCCCACTAAGGAAACCGTTTGGCAACTGGTGGCTGCTGGCGCCTGCGTTTGTCACGGGCTTGTTGGGGGGAGGTGTCTATGTGGGCGCTTTCTCGCTGATCGCCCAGGCTGGGCCCTGGTGGGACATGAGACACATACTTGGTATCACAGATGTACCAGTGGCATGGTCCTGACACTGTGCTTGTTGAGCGACGCGTTTGATTGGGTGTGTGACTTGTGCGATTCCTGTTGCCGTTCTTCTCGCAAACTTGAAGCAGGGCAGAACTTGCAGATGTCAGTTCCGTGGCAGTTTTCTGCACGCTTGCCTTTTGCAAGTGACCGGATGGTTCTTAAATCTCCAACTGCCGGCTTTGTTGACATGTGTTTCTGTTCTCCATACTCCATGATCCTCCAATCCCTGGAAGAGAGCCAGCTCTGTTTGCAATCCCATTTGCGCGTTGACTCACCGAGCTGGGATACCGAGCTGACAGCTTTGGAAAAGATGCTTCCAATCCGCACCCCAAGCTGGCAACTAGTGCGCACAGGCCCCTGTCCCGTCAATTCCCTAACCTCGTGTCTAGGTACAGAGTCGAATACTGCCAAACAGCAAAAGTAATCCCAACCAACCCACAGACTCTCTTTCTCTCTCTCTCTCTCGCTCTCTCTCTCTCTCTCTCTCTCTCTCTCTCTCTCTCTCTCTCTCTCTCTCTCTCTCTGATTGAGCATCATCTAGCCACGCTTTTGGTTTGACATGGCATTTGATCATTTGGTTTGAAAACGGCAACATACACACAGGGGTTGTCAAAATTAGCCTCCCTTTTTGGTGTCCTTGCTATTAAAAATACAGTACGCCTTTTTTTGCAACCCCCTCATGTCGTGTTGTTTTTGTCTTCGCGGTGTGCTTGTTTTAAAACTTGGACGCCCCAAGATGGATTTCCGCTTGTCCTTTTATCCACAAAGAACCAGGCCTCAAACAAAGACGAGCCACCGCGTCACGGACGGCCGTGGCTCGGGTTTTCACGCCAGGAGCAGCACCCCGCCTATGTGGAGCTGGCGCTCTCGAGCGCCTCTGTGGCGGACACCTTCGGCATGCGCCTCTGAGAAATTCGCCTTGTCAGAGTCAGTCCGAACTGAGCCCTGTTTGGGGACGGCAACGAACAAAAGTTTGCAAAAGACATGGTAAGGAAGTGCAATGGTTTCCACAAAATACCAATGGCAAACCACGTTTGGCTGCGTGTCTGCTTCACCCGCCGAGGATACTGGCAAACGTCCTGGGGCTCATCGCGCAGGGTTGCATCTTCGGGCAGATGCAGGCAGGAGCACTGTTCGTTGCTCTCCGAGTTGTTGGGTTGTGTGCAGATCACGGATACCAAGCCCGACTTCACCTGCGGCTATAACATTTGGGACTCATTCAATGGATCCTTCAGCTGAAGCCTTCAGTGCTGGATTTCATTGAAAGCAGGATGTGGTTTTCACGACGCTGATAAATACGAGGATCTGGGAAGTAGACAACGGGCGAGCCACGACTCGAAGGTGTGACGCGCGTGCGTACGCTTGGAGCTAAGGAACGCAAGCTGCGCCCACGTACGCTGGCCATTGCTTCCCAGGTGTGAAAGGTTGATTGGCTGACCGGCCAAGAAGCGCTGCAAAGATCGGCCCATATCACGTAGACACCATCGCAGCTGGTTTTAGCATACCCAGACGCTCATGAGCCCTGCTAGGGCCCCCTCTTCGGGAAATCCTGGGCAGTAGTCGTGAGCCTTTGGGTAGACGTGTTTCTTTCAAGTCCTTAATGTTTAGACTTGATGCGCCAAGAGTTTGAGATCGGCTGCAGAGTCCAATATGTCGCACTCCACGTCTGAGTGCTGGCAGTGCTGGGAGAGAGGTATTTATTCATTAAAGAGCGAGCGCTGGAGCTTGGGCCTTGAACTGGAACATTCAAGCTTTGTTTCTGCGTGTGCTAGAGCATGAGTTTGATCTTTCTTTCGGATCTTTATGCACAGCCCGAAAGACGTAAGCAGAGTGTTTGGTCCAAGAGACGGGGCCTCGTAGGAGGCCAAAGCTTTGCGCCTCGAGAAGCAGCGGCAGCAGTTCAGTGCCCCGCGCATGTGGGCGCAGCTTTTGTGTAGGCTTTACGTTTGACACCCTCCAAGAATGAATGGACATCCAAAAGAAATCAGTGTATATTTTTCCCCAACAGCTGAAAGCTTGGGTCTCAGCCCAGTTCGGGGCGACCCTGAGCCACGAGGGTTCCACGAGGGTTCCACCAGGGTTCCACCATCCGGGGTGGCTTGAGGTAAGGTTCCACGAGGGTTCCACGGGGTTCCGTTCTGCGAGGGCTGCGGGGTTGTCGGGGTGGTTTGAGGTAAGGTTCCACGAGGTTCCACCAGGGTTCCACCAGATTTCCACCAGGTTCTGCGAGGGCTGCGGGGTGGCCGTGGTTGAGGTAAGGTTCCACGAGGGTCTGACCAGGGTTGCAGGGTTCCACCACGTTCTACAAGGGCTGCGGGGTGGTCCGGGGTGCTTTGAGGTAAGGTTCCACCAGGGCTCCACCAGGGTTCCACCAATTTCTTCGAGGGCTGCGGGGTGGTTCGGGTGGTTTGAGGAAGGTTCCACGAAGGTTCCACCAAGGTTCCACCAGGCTTCCACCAGGGTTCCACCGGGCTGCGGGGTGGTTTGAGGCAAGAGGGTTCCACCAAAGTTTTGCCAGGGTTCCACCCACCAGGGTTCTGCAAGAGCTTTGAGGTAAGGTTCCATGAGGGTTTCAGGGTTCCACGAGGTTCTGCAAGGTGTGGGATGGTCAGTGTTCCACAAGCGTTCCAAAAATGTTCTGCAAGGTTACGTGGTTTGCCCTGGAGGGAAGCAGTGTGTCGTGCGCCCGTCGTCTGAAAAGCCATGAGATCAGAAGACATGGGCGGAACACTCAGCAAAACCGAACTCGAAGTTTTTCAGCACACTTTCACTGTTTTGTCACTTGCTCACTTGCTCAGGCAACGCGGCTCGAAATGTTGGCTTTGTGGCAAATCAGATCACGTTGCTGCGGGACTCACGGTGCAGCAGAGTAAATGCTTGGCATTGCTGAGTATTAGTTGGTGGGCTTTGGGTTCCAAGAATTCCACAAGGCTGCAAGGGCTATCGGGTACAAGTCGGGCCCGGTTGCACCGTTGGGGCCCGATCGGCCCCGATTGTGCCATCGCCCCGGTCGGTCGGGCCCAATCAACTGTACCAAGCTGGCATCGCCTAGTTTTGCCTAAGGAATTGCACCGTCGGGGTCCGGTTGCACCGTCCCGATCAGGCCCTAGAACATCACAACCTTGCCCTCCAAAAACAGAATCCTCTTCTGGAGAGAGACACAAACGTGATCATTTTTAGATGGGTTTGGGGGGCAGAAAAATAAACCGATTGCGGGCCCCGATCGGGCCCCCCGATTGCACCACGAGACGCGATCATGCGCCGTCGATCGGTCGGGACCCGATTGCACCCCGATTGTGCCCCCGATCAGGGCGCGATTGCGCTGTCACTCTTAGCTTTGCTTTATAAAGTTACAAGGCCGCATCCTCAGCAACACGGCGGTGAGGTGGGTCGGGGCGTTCCGCGAGGATTCTGGGAGGGTGTGCCTGAGCCTGTTTTGTTTTTTTTGGGGGGGTCAACCAGAAAGGGGGTTCCACTCATTTTATCAGTGCAAGGTGTCGTTCGAGCTGTTGTTAGCTAACGAATTAATACACGACGCTTGCTATAGGTTGGTTGGATTGATGTTTCGGCCGCTTGGCTCATTGTGGGACCCTCTTTCAAGCCACCAAGAACTCCATGCACGATTGCTCATCTCGACTCAAAGCAGCTTGTCCCACATCTCCGGGCTGGAGTAATTGTGTTGCTATCATACCTACAGCGGGTGGCTCGTTCGCACCTTGCCGCCTTAAGTTCACAGCTGTTCACTCTTTGTAATGTTATACATATATATATATATACACTGGACGTCGGAGGCCATTTCTGAAACACCCCTCGGCCAATGCTCGGCCATTTGTGGGTCTTCACCAACGGCCTATTAAGGAACAGCTAACGGCCAATTCTGAAATGGCTCTTAGATATGGCGTTGCTTTGCGATTCAGTGTGCTTCAGTGGGTTGGGGTTGCCTTTTGAAGGTCTTGGCCACTAGCACTGAGAGCTTTTCAGCAAGGCAAACAACATTTTTACAAACCCTGGGCGTCCTCGCCCATGTCTGAAAAGGCCTAGGCACCCTCGACCATTCTAAGGAAATGCTAGACCATTTTAGGGTCCTTACAAACGTCTGTTTAAAATTCGTCGAGCGGCATTTTCCGAAATGGCTGTTGTCATGGCCCGGCAGCCAGGAGCCTTCTGTCACAAGCCACCTTCACGCTCGCTCTTATGTGTGCGTGTTGGCGCAATGGGCGTCTTACAGCAGTCTCGGAGAAGCTGGAGAGTGGACAAAGCGTGGACAAAGTGTGGAAGAGCCATTTGTGGGCGTGGAAAAGCCATTTCTGGGAGTGGAACATCCATTTAAGGGAGTGGACAAACCGTGGACATCCCGCCGAATGCCACCTCAGCCTGAAATTATGCAAGTTAAAGTGGCAGAGCTGAAGCCTACAGAGCTCAACTGCGCGACCTTTTCAAAGACAAAAGACGATTCCAAACGAGCCTAGCTTGAACACGGGCTTGCGTGATGGCTGGACTACGGCCGCGGTAGCTTATTGGCTAACATCGAGCTCCACAAAGGGTTGCCCAAAGCTACTGAAAACGCGGGGTTTTCTGCTTTAGGTCCTTCGACAAACAAGCCAGATCTCCAAAGGAATTTGGAAGTTCAGGGAGTCAATTCTGACTTGGCTGATGTGAGCCTGGGGCCTATATGATTGCCAGCTTTGTGTGGGGGGGGTTTTCTTATTGGCCAACATGGTAGTCCAGAAATGTGGTCTTGCTTATTGGCCAACATGGGAATCCAGAAATGGCTCTTCGGAACCAGTGAAAACATGCATTCTTGCCACAAATGGCTCTTCGACAAACGGCCGTTTCTGAAAAGGCCTTTTGAAGTCCAGGGTATATATACAAGTTTATATGGTGGGTATGTTTATAGCGTCAAAGTCACATAGAACATGACAACGTCTGACAAAACGCAACCAACCCAGCTTTCCTTCATTTCACATGCTTCATTTCACATCATAGGCCTCTAACCCGAAACCCGATCCACATACAATGAGACCTATAGGATTACAAATGGACGAAGGCCTAAACCATGCATATTTTTGTGCGTTATATATATATATAGATGTTTGTAGCCACGAATCTCCCAGCCAACGCCCTTTTCGCCAGCCCTGGAGCTGCGGCGCCGGGGTGAGCGCGGCTCCAGCTGCGGCTCACGCTTGGCCAGGAGACCTGGACACGGATGGGCCAAAACCCATCTCGCAGATGAATCCTGAAAAGCTACGGCTTTTAGTGAACTAAACTCAAGTGATGGACACCCACCGAAGTATGTCAGATGTCCAAAAGGTCCCCAGTTCAAAAAACATTTTCTGCTCATATTCTTTTTGAATGGGTCTGGTGGCTTCCTTTGGTGGGAGGCGTGTCAAGGCCGGCTTCCAATAGCCACGTGCGTCAACACAGACTCGTTGCACACGAAGTGTGGCTCGTTGAGTTAGGCGGCCAAGTTCTGGACCATGAAAATGCGCCTCTTGCTCTTCGCGTCCTTCATGGCTTGGAGGTCAGGGATGAACCGGTCAGGGGTTCCACTGGAAGCAGTGTTACACAGGTTACGGGATGTTACGGGCAGTTGTGGGTCTGTGTGGATTTCCTTTCGGATGTCGTTTAAACCAACCTTACAGGGTACTCTCACAAATCACGGATAGAGTTGGTGACAACAGGCTAGTTGCCTGTGTCAGACTCAGGGACTTTTCATAGTCTTGCCCTTTCAACAATCCACCCAGAGGCAGTCCTTGATTTTGAGGCATTGACCGATTTGTCTGCCAGGCAAGGCACGTTTTGAGTGTGCTGCCAAAACCCAAGCTTCCTGAAAGGCACCGTGTTGATTTCCGCATTGATATGGAGCCGAAGCGCCAAGATGCTCAAGGTTAGTCAAGGAATGTCACCTCAGACTCAGAGTTGTGTCCAAATTGCCATTCACTCATAAGTAGAACACTCAGCCCTGGGTCGCTGCCCCAGTCCTTAGTTTCCAATTTGCACTGGACTGCCACAAATCAAACCCCGGGCCTAGCCAGCCAAATTGGTCTGGCTGTTATGTTCCCCCAAAGTACTCCGTGTCTTCGGCTGGTATTTCGATCTCGTTGAAGCATGCATGACACTGTTTGGCACAGATTCGTAGATAGGAGTCCCGGAGGCTGACGAAATCTCATACTTGCCAGGTGCGCCCATGCAACCCACCATCACCTGACAATCCAAGGCGGTCCGACCGCTAGCTCCAACCGCCACCCATCCCAAGACCCAACCCCGGAAGCCAAGCCCGGCCTCAGCCCGTGCCCCGTCTTCACAGGTTCCGCCTGGCGCGGGAGAGCTCCGTGCAGCTCCGCAAGGCCCTCGCGGACACGGAGGCAGCCCACTTCGCCCGGGAGCCCAGAGCGGGAACTCCCCTCAGTCGAGTTGTTTGGAACCACGGCTTGCTGGCTTGCTTGGTGAAGTGATGTGAAATGAAAGGACTTAAGTAATGCTTCCTGAACCTAGCACATAATTAGCGTGCTATCCTGTAGACCACTGCCAGCTTTGGCAAGTACTGGCATGAAGCCCTAAGAGGCTTCTCAAGAGTTTCGGGAAGCCATCTAAGAATCTACACAAGTGACACGCGTGACTGGCAACCAGTGCTTTGAACTGAGGCCATTGCCTCTCGCAGCCTTCTGCTGCCTCATGCCCAGAGCAGACCCGACTGAGATAGAGGTAGAAGGCATGGAACCTTTGGGCAAGCAAGCGGGCCACGCGTTTCGCATTGCATTTGTGTCAGGCACAAATTGGTTGTGTTTTGCAAGGGAGATCGTCCGCTCCAGACAGGTCCGATGCCTTCCGGAGGCAGGTGTCCCCAGCTCATGCCGTCAAGTGGTGCTATGCATTGGGCAGGATGGAAACAGCTCGGCATCCAAACATTGGGTTGCTGTCCCAGGCTCCCTTGGGTGTAAATTTCATTGTTTCAGCAAGTGTTCTCTACAACCTGAGTTAGAAGGGCCAGTTGTTCATGTCCACAACTACAGCTTTGCTTAATTCAGATTGCGTACAGAAAACGACTAATGCGTAAAGTTAGAGAGGTTGTGCCTCACAAGGTCCATTCTGCATGATCAACTGATGTCAACTAGCAACTGTGTTGCTTCTTGTTTAAAAGTCACCTTGCCAGTTGTGTTACAGGATCTCCTGGCAAAGCAACTGGTTTCTGGACGTGGTTGTTTCTCAAAGTAGGGGAACCACAAAATACTGGGGTGTCCCTTTGTCTATTCAAATCCACCCTCACAAGGGTACACCCCTCACAACGGTACACCCAACCAAAAAGACGAGCCACACGTGTATCCTTCAAGGAACCTGGCGGCGCCAATTTCTTAGCTGCGGATCGAATGATGTTCAGGTGGCGGCGCTGGGCCGCGGGCCTCTCCTACGAGCGATCCGTGCACCAGTTTCACGAGCTGGGCGTAGTCCTCAGATTCACACGGACACCAGGCTGAAGCTAGATCGCACAACTCCCTGGGCAAAAGGGACTGAATTCTGAGCCAAGTTGGGAAATTCTAATCATCTAATCATTATCTAATCTATCTTTCAGTCTTTCTGGATTTGGCAAAGTGATTTCGCCTCTGCCAGTCAGCCGGGCCCAAGGGCCCGGCCGAGTGGTGGCTGTGGTTTCCTCCATCGAGGAGCGGGCGGATTCGAATCCGGACGGAAATGCTTTAAGGCTTTGCTACCCCAGACCTGATTTCTTCGAGAGTTGCATGACATCATGGTGACATGGAGAACTAACTAGATTTGTAAGGCTAAGGGTCGTCATTCGGATGTGAGCTGTACACTTCATGTCTATCTATGGATTGTTTGATTTTTGGCAAGACAATTGCCTCGGGAAGCACATTCTGTGGGGAGGCGATTCCATGCAATTGCAGATCCCTTTGTCTTGATGTTTTGCTGCCTCTGCTGCGATACACTAAGAGGATCTGTCAAAAACAAACTTTGGATAGCAATCCAAAGTGATATCGTCGCACCCATTAACACCAAACTACGAATCCATCCATTCAACGAGGGCAAGCCCCAGGAGAAGCGGCGGCGCCTGCTGTGCGTAGAGGCTTTCCTGAGGCGCAGTTTCAAGTAATCGAAACGTGTTGAAGCTGGTGGAGGCAAAACGGAGGGAGAAAGGACATCTCTTTGGGGCAGAGAATAGCCACAGGAGCCGATTCAATCAATGCCATTTCCTCACTTTGCATGGCCAGGTGGGCTGGCGTGCTCCGATGGAAGCAAGCGCCCTCTCCGCCTCCCATGTCTCCACGGGTGATGTCACGCCCGGCATCGCCTCCGCAAGCGGGGAGGCCCAGACTTTGGGGCGTCCTTCATTGAAGTCGTGCAAGTCGTCCAAAGCCGAATTGGCGTGTGCAGAGGGATCTGCGGCTGCGTCAGCTCAAGACTGGACGAAGTGGGACACATGTGGACGAATCCATGTTTCAAGCCCCTTCGGTATTTGGTACACAAACAGTGCACTGAACGTGAATAACAGCGCAGTTCCGCAACCAGGGCAAGAGAGGAATGAAGCATTTGGCAGACACTCATTGATTTACGGGCCAAGAGGCGGCCAGGCCCAAAGGTGGCCAAGAGGCTTGCCATGGCGTGGCAGGATGTGCGACAGGCGCGGAAGCCCATTTGCTCATGAGTGCAAGCAGCGGGGGTGGTGGTCCTAGTAGAGTTCTCGATTTTCCAGGCGGTCTTCCAAAATCCAGCGCCCATGGGCCTGCTGCGCGTGTGGCACTTTGCTGGCCCCTCGTGCCGCTGTTGCCGCATTGAATGGCCGTTTTGAGGCAGGTGAACAGCGGTTCTTTCCCACGGCCCACGCTTCTGGCACTTCCCAGAGAGTGTGCAGCAACCAAATGGCCAAAATGGCTATATTTTGTGAGTGCCAAAATGGGTTTCTGAAAAAAAAAGGAATCAAAAGGAAGCCAGGCCATCTCCAGGTCAGCTGAGGCTGCTGCAAGGCGAGGACGCTGGCGCGGGGCGGCACCAAACCCCAGGCCTCATGGTGGCCTGAGCTGGGGCGATGCCGTGGCCTCAGTCCACGGACCCCAGAGACACGGCCCCTAGATGAAAATGGCTCACACCAGGATCTTCAGTTGGGTACATTGCCAGACTAGCCAGGAAGCTGTTTAAGCTTTGGAAGCTTCCAAATCATGGATCCTTCACTACCTCAACAAAACAACCTTGGTTGTTTGTGCAGGGTGCGGCCAGTATCTTTTGTTTGCTGCACAGCCGAGTCCGTTTTTGTGTTGTCTCAGAAGCAAGTGAACCCAAATCGGCCAGCTTTTGTGGAGATCCCACGGCATCGACATGGAAGCTGAGGCCATTTAGTGCCGCAACTACTTGCGAGCGAGCCTTGGCTTGAGTTATTGAAAAGCGGGAGTCATTGCCGGGGAAAGCTCATAACGCCGTTTTGCACGCAGCTTTTGTGTTCACCCAATGTGAACTGGCATTCATTTCGGGGGAGTTCCCTTATTCTGGTTGGTTTTTTGAAGGAACCCATCCGGTTCCTATTTAAACATTCCTGACAGAGAGGAGACACACTATGGACAAAACCCGCGCCACGCATTTGATGTGTCTCAAACTGCTACTTGCAAGAGGGAAGGGCCTTGTTTTGGAGAGAACCTTTCTGAAAACGGGCATCTCCAAAGCTCAGAACCGTTAGGAGCAGCGCCTGGCATTGGACCGCTGCTGGGCGCTGCTGCAGGCGCGCCCGGACCTGGCTAACGCGGCCACGCCCGAGGGCAAGCCCATGACACTGGCGGTGAAACGAGGCGGGAACCCAACAATTGGATTGGTGGCAACCGAAAATACAAAAGGACGGGATGGTTGGTTTTTCGCATGGCTGGACGGTTTTGGGGATGGCTGGATGGTTGGTTGGAACAAGAGGCGCAACGATCTGAGTTCCCGGGTTCACGTGCTAAGGAGGCCAACTCGTTGCCGGCGATTTGTCTCCTGAGAGTATCAGCGTGAACATTCCATTCCTAGTGCACGGGATCAATTTGTCGAATAGGATTTGGAGCTAAACCATTTCAGGAAGGTTCTATGTCTCCCACGTTGGACGCCTGGGTGGGGAAACATCCGCCCCGGTCCCTTGCATCGAGGCTGCCGCGGGGCCGCAGAGCTGCTCCGGAGCTGCGGGGCTCTGCTGACCTGCGGCCAGGCCAATGCGCTTCTTCACGAGGCGGCAACCACAGGCGCGTTTCGCGGGCGGATGCATCCAAATTCAATTCACATTTCGAATTATCTTCTACTTGCGATCCCACTTGGAAGGGAAGTTCCAATCAATATCTACTTCGAAAACATGAATTGAGTTCTATTCAAATCCCAGTGAAAATGTAAAGCCTCGCAATGTAAACCTTGCAAACAAATTGGACGGACATCTACTACAATCCTACTTGGAAACGACAACTCATTGAACATATACTTCAAGAAGTATTTTAAGTAATTTCTATTTAAGATATGATTCAATCTTAAAGCGTTGCGATCTAAAACTGTAAACCAACAGAGCTGAAATTTCAGTTTCTAAGAGTTTCTATTGCTTTTAAGAGGCAGACAAATTAGAAGAACCGATCTGCTTGTCTTTCCATACAGAATTCCATTTGAATTCGAATTCAGCTCTATTGCCAAACAGTGTAACAGGAATGAAAAGACAGATGCTGAGACAGTTGCAGCTACTCTGGCAATTGACAAGGCAGTTTTGACCTTGCAGCAGATGCGTGTCAAATCAGTGCATTGCGTCTCCTCTCTTTGCTCACATTCACTCTTTGTTGTCACCACAAATGCAGGAATATGCAACTTGTCCGCGATGCCATGTTTCAAAGCACGCAAACAACACAAACACAGTGCAAAAGCCCACCCCCATGAGCCGCCGCTCTCTATTTTTAAACAGGGCCCCCCCCCCACCCGGCAGAGAGGAGGAGGAGTGAGGAGGAGAGCGGAGGGGGGGGAGGAGGAGGGAGGACAAGGGCAGGCGGAGGAGGGCGGAAGCTCCGTAGCTGTTGTTTTGCAAGCAGGCTTGCGTAGGCACTTGGCAAAGGCTCCAAGCAAACTCGCAGAGTCAGAGAGGGACGGATTCACTTAGGACAAGCTAATTATTTGAATATGGCAGAGCTTGCTTTTAAAAAAGGATGAAACAGGTAGGTGTGGTGTGTGTGACATGGTGTTAGCGGCTTATGAACGTTGGGGCTATCGAGCCACATGCACGCATGCATGCAGACAGACAGACAGAGACATAGACAGAGACACAGACAGACAGACAGACAGACAGACAGACAGACAGACAGACAGACAGACAGACAGACAGACAGACAGACAGACAGACAGACAGACACAGACAGAGGCAGAGACAGAGACAGAGACAGAGACAGAGACAGAGACAGAGACAGAGACAGAGACAGACAGACAGAGACAGACAGAGACAGACAGACAGACAGACAGAGACAGAGACGAGACAGAGACAGACAGGCAGACAGACAGAGACAGACAGACAGACAGACAGAGACAGACAGACAGAGACAGACAGAGACAGACAGACAGACAGACAAGCAGACAGACAGACAAACAGACAGACAGACAGACAGACAAACAGAGAGACAGACAGAGAGACGCACGCGCGCACACACACACACACACGCACACGGCGACACTCACGCGCCCACGTGCACACACGCGCACTTGCACACACGCGCACCCACGCACGCACGCACGCACGCACGCACGCGCGCGCGCGCCCACACACACACACACGCACGCACGCACGCACGCACGCACGCACGCACGCACGCACACACACACACACACACACACACACACAGACACACACACACACACACACACACACACACACACACACACACACACACACACACACACACACACCACACACACCACACACACACACACACCACACACACCATACACACCACACACACCACACACACCACACACACCACACACACACACACACCACACACACCACACACACACGCACACACGCACACACACACGCACACACACGCACACACGCGCACACACGCACACACGCGCACACGCACACACGCGCACACGCACGCACGCACGCGCGCACGCACCCACACACACACACACACCCACCCACCCACCCACCCACCCACGCACGCACGCACGCACGCACGCACGCACTCACGCACGCACGCACGCCCACGCACGCACGCCCACGCACGCCCACGCACGCCCACGCACGCCCACGCACGCACGCACGCACGCACGCCCACGCACGCACGCAAGCACGCACGCACGCGCTTGCCAAGGAGAGACACCCAAACACAGACAGACAAACAGACAGTGACTGTGACTGTGGCTGTCACTGCGAGCAGACAGATAGACAGGCGCGCAGACAGACGTGCAGACATACACACAGACAGACTCCCAGGCAGACGCACAGACAGGCAGACACACACACACATACACACACACACACACACACCCACGCACGCACGCACGCACGCACGCACACACGCACGCACGCACTCACACACGCACGCACCCACACACGCACGCACGCACGCACGCACGCACCCACACACACACACCCACGCACACACACACACACTTACACACACACACACACACTTACACACACACTTACACACACACACACGCACTTACACACTCACACACACACTTACACACACACACACACTTACCCATACACACACATACACACACACACACAACCCACGCCCACACACAACCCACGCCCACGCCCACGCCCACGCGCACCCGCACGCGCACGCGCACCCGCACGCGCACTCGCACTCGCGCACGCAAGCACAACACACTCCACACACACACGCACACATGTTGAGCTTTGTCAACTTCCCATTGGTTAAACTCAACTTGGGAAGTGTTTTCGGCGCAAAGTTCTGGCGCCTCTGAGGCATGCTGCCCACTTTGGAGCTCTTGCTCCTGGACAGCGCCCAGCGCCCCCGGCAATCGCCCTGGGCCTCGGCCAACGCGCGGCCCCTCAAGCCTCCCGGTAAGAAGTGCCTGCGCCTTCCTTTTGGTTCCTAAAAGGAGTCTCTGTTTTGTGAACCCTGGATTTGGCAACAAGAATTAAGGTCCAACATGAGAACAACCATTTGTCAGGGTCATAAAGGGTTCCAAGATCGGTTCGACACAGCCACGTGTGTGTTTTCCTGAATTCCGTTCGAAGAGCCCCTTGAAAAGGTTGTGCTACATTCCAACTCACGTGTTCAAACAACGATGACTTAATGAAGCAATGTTATTGTTGGCGCCCTAAGCTTCGGGAACCAAAAGGAGATCTTTTGATTCAACATTTGTGGCGGCTATGCGTTTTGTCTAGTAGCAACACACTCCAAATTGGTTGGTGGACATGAACCCCTAAGGGTCACCAATCAAGAACCATGTTTCCTTGGTGGTTTAAACATCAGCTTGTGGTGCCTTCCGGGTGGGGGGGCCTTTGGTGTCGTCCCTATCAAGCTGTTTTTTGTCAGCTGCTTGCATGACGCACGCACAGGTTCTAGCAACCTCTCTTTGAGCAATCTCCTTTATGGTTTCCCTTAAGGGTGAGGATCAAAAGGAGGTTCCTTCAGCAACAAACGCACACTCCTATCAATTTATGGGCATATATTATATATAAATATATTGTTTCACATATTGACATTTTTGTGGCACATTCGCAGCCCATGCGCGAGGCACGGGGGCACCCCGCTGGACGCAGCGGAGGCCCGGAACCACGGCGCCTGTGCGGCGCTGTTGCGCCGGGCGGGGGGCCGGCACTCCATGCAGCGCCACTCGGATCCTGGTTGGTTTTGTTGTGTTTCCCTTTCAAGCCCCATTTGGGCTTTCTTTGTGTGGGTTTTATAGGCTCGGTACCTTGAGGTTGGTGTGAAGGGAAACCAACAAATCAAACTATGCAGGACGCGGGTCCCCTCTTAAACCAGTTCTTGACGGCCAATTGGCCCAACATCAGAATGGTTATCGCATGGTTTGCTGGCCACTTTTCCGCCCTATATCCTAGTCTTTGCTCCGGTTTTCGCCGATATCTAAGCAAGTTTCGAGCTCTGAGAGCAATTGTTCTTTCTCTAAACAGTGCCGGAGAAGCTGCCAAACTCCCCAAGCACGTCGGATCGAATTGGTTGAGTCAAACACAAATCCACGTAGACAGGGTCGACGGAAAAACACGGGGACAACTCGTGGCAAGTTTCCCCTACACTCCGCATAGTCACAAGCGAAGCAAGTGACAAGGGCAGGAACAAGGGCGCCTGAGAGCCTAGCCATGATGGAGCCTACAAAACTCTCTCCGTCGGCGTGTGTTTGCAGTGAAACCTGAACCTAAAGCCCCGGTGGGTCCAAATCCGGTCCTTTAAGATCCTTTAAGTAGAGCTGAATATGGCGACAAGGATGAGATATCTCGGAAGGGAATGTGTATCAAGGCTGGCGCTTATAAGTAATGTGGGCGGTGAAGACACTGCATCGCAACACTGGCAAGCAGATGGCAGCGTGTTGCGAATCAACACAGGCAAGAACGAGAAACAACCACCTGGGGCCGCCCGTGCGACCTCAGAGAAATGCCACCAAACGTTTGTGTTGCGCCGGGGTTTTTAAAGCCTGTGGGCGTGCAATTGCTTGAGAACGGTAACGTAGAGGGTCCACTGCCTTTTACACAGCCCATTTCCAGACAATACCTGTTTGACACGCTGTGCAAAGAGCATATCATGTGGATGCGCTGTTTATCGTTAGTTCCTTTTTCAAATCTGTTTTGCCAGCAAACCTAACACGTATCATACTCGTTGGAACCAATGACATGTTGCGCGGTTGAGCCACAAGCGCCACGAACAACTTCACAAAGAAGTGGGGTTCAAACAGATTCATGAATTGCCAACAGTCAAAAGATAGGGTTGCTGGAAGGATCCAGGTGTAGTAAGCAGATGTAGGGCACTTTGAGTGCTCCAGGTGCAGCCGAGCTGGCCCTACCAGAGACTCTCAGGGAGTGGCTGCAAGAGGGCGCAGATGTGGAGGAGCGGCCCAATGCATGACCGGCCTCCAGATTTCCCGATTCTTTGATTTTATGTTTATTTTCTTAAACAGGGGCTATCCCAAAGGCTCAATGTGTTTTGTCCGTCGCCGAACTAATGTAGCTTTAGTTGGATCACCCCCTCTTGAGGATCTCGCGTGACGTCGCAGGAGCGGGATGGCAGCGGTGCCACGGTCTTGTGGCTAGCAGCTCGAGGCCACGGCAACGAGCAGAAGCGACGCTTGGGCAACCGGGAGAGCTCGCTGGAAATTGGCTGACTCGGAGTGTCTCTGTGTGTATTCTTGGAGATTGCTTGGTTTGTATAGCGGGAAACCAAAAGGACAACCACCAATTGTTGGGGACCCATATTTATTGAGGTTGGATCAACGACTCTTGGTGAATACGCGTTTTGATGTTACATGGCTATGAACTTCAATGGGGAACATCGTTCAAATGGTTGGCTCACAAAGTTTAGATTTGTACCTGCATAGAATTGAAATGCATTGGTGTTTTTTGCCGGAAAAGACCATGTGCCACGTGGCAACGAGTTGAGGAACGGAGTGCCTAGAACTGCTGCTGGCGGCAAGGGCCACTGTGGATGCGCTTCCCATTAGTCAGGTGGGGGAGTTCGACCATCAGATGGACGCTCGATGAGGTTCGCAATATGTTTCTTGGGTTTCCACCGTAGTCGAATCTGACAAATCTGTGACCACGTTCCAAAATGGAGCCGTATGAGCATGCCTTCAGAGATAGCCCTGGGACTCCTGATGTTGGCCCGCCCTGCAAAAAGGCAGGGCATGTGCCAGGAGACGCCCTTGATGGTGGCAGCACAGCGGGGGTCAGTGGCCCATTGCCAGATCCTGCTGCAGGACAGCATTGGGTCTCCCCATGTTTTGCCAAGCGAACTGGGCTTGTTTGTGGATCGGGAACCCTGCCATCCCGAGTTTAGGCGAATGCACTGTGTGTAGGGCGTGTGTCATGGTTTGGCGCCTTCGGAGAAGATCATCAATCCACGGCGCCCGGCGTTGTTTGGGGGAAAAAAACAGGCCGGCGCGGACGCTACGCGCCGGGACCGCAACGGGCGCAGTGTCCTGGAGCATGCCAAGGGCGCTGCGCAGGACCTGCTGGCCCGAGGCGCGGAGGACAAGAAATGTGGGGGGGGATTGTACCCTTGAGAGGCATACCAGCAGTACCCCAAGAAGCAGATGCCTGGTGCAATGCGGCAGGCGCTGTTTGAACTGTTGAGCCTTCCGTGCCTGACGATTGTCTGGAGGCTTCGACGAGCCGAGCTTTGAGGACTACGGGCACGAGGGGCATTGGCCAGGCTACTGGCCAAGGTGGCAGCCCGTGCCCGCCCTGCCCGCCTGGCAAGTCACACCGCACTGGTGGCGCTGAGGCAGGTTTGCCCGAACGAGAAATTTGATCAACCCCTTGGCAACCGCTAGGCAACTAGGTTCTGGCACAAGCAACATTGTGGCCTCGTGCGCACGTCGTGTCACAGCAGACTCACAGCAGCGAGGCAGACTTTCAGCAGACTTTCAGGCCGACACCAAAATGAGGTGAGACCGTCACACTTTTGGAGTAGGAGCTTCGGCTAGATGCTGACGCTCCTTCTCTTGTGAGCATGTCGCGGTATTTCTTGGGACTCGAAAACAAGGTCCCACAGATGCCTCGTCGATGCCCCTTGGTTCCCAGCCACGCGCAAATTTTAAGCGTTGGCCTGCGAGCAAACAGCTGCATTGGGCCGTGTGTCTCACATAGGCTGCATTGCCCTGATACAAATTGACTGAGCCATGTGTGAGAGTTCATGTACATGTTTTGACCCGATCTTTGCACGTGTGTTGTCTGGCAAGTTGCAGTTTGCATGGGGCTTACTGGGCGCCTGTGCTTGAAATGGTTCATTTTGCCTCGGCTTCAAATTTCAGCACAGCGTGCACAGCATGGAGCCAAAGAGACGCCGCTTCACCCGCACAAAGTTGCAACGATTTGGAAGCAGCGCTCGTCATGTCGCTTGGCGTTGATGCATGGCATTTTGCTTGGGCAGCGTACTTCTGAGGAAGACATCATGTCACGCTTGTTGTGCTGAGCCAAAGGAAAAATGGGTTGGCTAGTTTCACAAGCAGATCAATCTATATATCTTTGGCAGCTTTGGATCAGCAACGGGAAATGATTTCGATTGATTGGCATGGAGCCTCGTAGCTCAGAAGTATCTTACTATCATATCGTGTTTGCACAAGATGCTCAACAAGATACACACGACACACACAACCACGATACACAAGATGTGTTCGACTCTGCTTTCCTTCTACCGGAGCCTGGGCTTGGCTAAGGTCTTGCGACCCTCGTGGACCGTGTTGGCCGCTGGCCCCGAAGTCTAGAGCAAATGTGTAAAACACTTGGCCCTTGAGAGAGGCTGCAGCAAGTTTGATGCGGGGCTTGGACTCAACTTGTGCCGTTTCTGTCAGAGAGTTATCAATGCGTCTTGCCGTCAACCTGCCGGCAATATCTTGAAGCAATATAGCGACCCGAGTGTCAATCATTCGCCATGTGCGTGTTGTGAGGTGTTTCCGTCGCACAAATCCATCCTTTTCGCCATGCCTTTTCGATCACAATCGAATGCGCACTTTCCCAAAGGCCACAGATGCCGACTGAATCCAAGGCGACAAGCTCCCCATCGGTGGTGCGTGCAGCTTGGATGGCAGTAGTCAAGGAGAATGTTCCTTCAACAATCCTCAAGCCATGCGATATCTTCAGATCGCCCGACCGATTGGCACCGCGATTTTTCCCGAAAGCATGGCGAAGGGTTCTTCCGCTGGGTTCACTTGAGTTGTTCTCATGAGAGTCATTACAAGGTGTCATTGCAAGGAATCATCATCATGAAAGTCATTGCAAGGAGTCATTGCAAGGAGTCATTGCAAGGAGTCATTGCAAGGAGTCATTGCAAGGAGTCATTGCAAGGAGTCATTGCAAGGAGTCATTGCAAGGAGTCATTGCAAGGAGTCATTGCAAGGAGTCATTGCAAGGAGTCATTGCAAGGAGTCATTGCAAGGAGTCATTGCAAGGAGTCATTGCAAGGAGTCATTGCAAGGAGTCATGAGAGCCATTGCAAGTTGCAAGGAGCCAAGTGCATGGAGTCAAGTGCAAGTCGCAAGTGCACGGAGTTAAGTGCAAGTTGCAAGTGCAAGGGGCCAAGTGCAAGGAGCCAAGTGCAAGGAGCCAAGTGCATGGAGTCAAGTTCAAGTTGCAAGTGCATGGAGTCAAGTGCAAGTTGCAAGTGCAAGGAGTCAAGTGCAAGGAGTCAAGGTTTTTGCGACTTTTGTTGTTCGAACTGGTCTTCGGGAGTTGTCTCGTGGTTCGCGCGCCTGCTCCCGGAACCGGCGGGTCGCGGGTTCGATTCCTCCCTGGTCCGCGGGCGGGCGTCGCAAGATGCAACTTGCATTTTAAAGCAACTTGCGCAGAGCAACTTGCGCAGAGCAAGCGCAGAGCAAGTTGCACAGAGCAACTTGCGCAGACCAACTTGCACCGACCAGTTTGCGCAGAGCGCCTTGCCTAGAGCAACTTGCGCAGAGCAACTTACGCAGAGCAACTTGCACAGAGCAACTTGCACAGAGCAGCTTGCACAGAGCAACTTGCAGGGAGCGCAATTTGCACAGAGCAACTTGCAGGGAGCCACTTGCAGGGACCAACTTGCCGGAGCAACTTGCGCGGAGCAACTTGCGCAGAGCAACTTGCACAGTGCAACTTGCGTAGAGCAACTTGCGCAGACCAACTTGCACCGACCAGTTTGCGCAGAGCACCTTGCCTGGTGCTGTCTCGCGCTTGCTTCACGAATGCTTCGTGTAGGGAAAAAGAACGCATCCTGCAGCGTTGGGCCGACCTCGCTTGCGATGTTCTGCTTTCGGGCCAACCGTGGTCTAGTCTTTGGGGCCTCAGATATGCTGCATTTACAAAGACAAAGACTCCACGCATATCAAGCCCGATTTCCAAGTCAAAACAGGCCTTCTGTGAGCAACACGCCCTTGCATTTCGTGTGGGCACTTGCAAGTGTTTATCAGTGTTTATCAGGTTGCAACAACGCATGCGCAACCGTGTATCATGCCTTGGATGAAGTTGCTCGGAGAATTTGCTCGGAGCAATCAACTTGCAGAGCGCCTTGCACAGAGCAACCCGCGCAGAGAGACTTTCACAAAGTGTAAGTGGCTTGCAGAGCATGTTCTACGAGGTATGGCTTCCGTGCGTGTAAATGAAACATCTTGGGGTGTGCTGAACGATGCCCACGACATTCGGAAATAATGCATTCGGACCAACCGTCCTCTAGTTGAAGACAATTTCGCATTTCGAGGCCGGTTTCGTTGTTGCGTGCGGGGCAGTGTTACATGTGTTCTGATGGAACGTGATTTGGAACAACGTCTGCTTGTGGGACGCTCCTGGCTTTACGTTTTTTTCAATCGTGCCGCAGCCCAAGTCGGGCGGGAAGCTGGAGTAGAGATGCAATTCTACGCGTTGAGCAAACCCGTTGCAAAGCAATTGCGGGGACGCAAAGGTCCTGGTTCGGGGACGTGATGTCAAGTGCCACGGGATCATGGGACTCACCAAATTCAAGAGCAAATCGAGATACCCAGGGCAGACGGCGAAATGGACGATGGCGAAGCAAGTGCGAGACAGCGAAAAGCGCAGCAACAGGACGAGACCTCGCCAAGACCAAAATCATCGGACACGAACATTTGAGTAAACAAGCTGGCAATCGGGCATGGCGCAATGACCATGAACAAATCTGCTATCGCCCTAATCCCTCCACCTCCCCACCACGCTGTGTGAAGCAGAGTGTGAAAAAGCCTGCAAAGTGTTCCTCCGTAAGAGTGCCAAAAGCCTGCCAACGTGAGCTTGTTTGCAACGTGGAACTCTTACGGCGTTATTGTTGTTCTTGCTTTTTGAAGAAGGTGGGTGGCATGCGCTCAGGCAGCTGCCTGCCCGCACTGTGGCAATGTCTATTTGCTGGGCTCCCAGACATGTTGACAGACAGCGAGTGAGGCGATCACGTCTCTGGTTTGAAAACTAGATTCTAGATCCTTTTCTCATAGGCCCGGCCTCGCACGTATTTTGCGCATGCCAGCTTTGGGTTGCTTTCAGACAGAGAGGCTGGCTTTGGAAGTTTGTCTGCTCTGTCTCGCCAGGGCCGACTCCGTTTTTTGCCGCCGTTGCGGCCGCAAGCGAGATCTGGTCTCTTTAGCAGCGTGGCAGCAGGGCAGAAGGGAATGGGCAGTGCCGAGGGCATGCCTTTCTCAGCAATCGGCGCGCTCCTGAACTGGAGCATGCTGGAACCAGAAGTTACGTACCAGCCTGAAATCGTCAAGCGAAAATGTTGTCAAATTCAATCAATTTCATGGTTTGAAGAGCTATAATTATATTTTGTTGCCTTTTCCACGCGGCAACGAGCTTTGGCCGCGGAATGTTTGCGAAGAAACAACCCTCACACAGCTGAGACAGGCCTCGATCAGATCAACCGTGGCGACACATCTGACAACAAGTTACACCTGGCAATTCTGTCGACATTCCGCTACACCCGCGATCTTCGCAGCAGCTGGCACCGATGAGAGCGACAGGAAAGGGCTAGATTGTTTATAGTCGCAGATGAAAACGGCAGTGGACTGGCAAGCCGCACAAACAGACCTTGTGTGGCAATGCAATGACAGCCAGTGGCGTAGCTTACCCCAAAGTGCTCAGGGGTTGATTTTGGATCCTGCCCCCAACCCCGAAGTCCTCCTGTTTCCATAATTAGGCCAGGGGGCTTGAATTCTGTATGCTCCAAAGCAATGTCCAAACAGTTCCACACAATTTGGTCACATCTTAGGACATCATGCGGCCAGTCTCCGCGACAGTGCCGGCACCACCACCTCCTCCAAGGACTGAATTGCACAAAGCCAATCCCGGGGCGATAATGATCAATGTCTTGGTTTCCTTTTGACCAGCTTCAACACATTGCAGAACCCAACAAGAGGTCCCTGTTGACGCATTCTCCGCAACGGCTGCCGGCTGCACTGTTCGATCGAGCATCCAGGAGTATGGCCTTCGCCTCCTCGCCCACCTCTGTCACCTCGATCCATGCAGAGGCAAGCGACAATCCGAAAATCCCACATTCCTTCCCTTTGAAACTTGAATTTCTGTCATTGAGATGAGTGGATTGATCTTTTTGTCTAGCATGCACCAGGTAGTTTGCTGAGCCTGGATAAAAGAGCGCTTGAACTGGGCTAAGCAAATTGCGGATATTTGTTGGGTCTCGCCCAAAATGACGGGACTGAGAGTGTTTCTTACAGTACCCCTTACACCTTGCTTGGTCAAGTTTGCAACTACCTCCAGTCGGAGGGATCTCACAGCTTTCACAAGAGACAATGACTCAAGTATCCGTCTCAATGTTCGAAGTCCCAGCCGCTTGCACCTGAGCCACCGCAGCCCGCATGCAGCAAAACAGTTCCGCGCATCATAGGGTTGGCTTGCTTGTTGCTTCCTGGCGGAAAACGTCATCTTGATCAGTTCAGTTTGTGTTGGCACTGGAAGACAGTGGGGAATCGTGCAAGATCCATGGCGCGTTAAAAACCGTCAACTCGGCCTAAATCCTGTTGGCCATTACGTGCATTGAGTCTGATGCCTGAGGAGCCAATTTCTGCTCCGCCGTCGCCGGTGGCCACTAGGTGCGGTTGGCTGGCAGCTTGCCGGGGCAAGCAGGGGTAGCACAAATGATGCGCGTTGAAGTCTGTCAAGAAAAAAGAAAGAAGCACTTCAACTGATATGCTGAGGGAGACTAGCCTCCAAAACTGTGCGGATGATGATAGGCCTGCACTTGTGGTCACCTGAATGCACAGCTGCCTCGAACCAGACTGCCGCAGGCTCGACAAGTGCTTATGCTTGATTTGTCTCTCCAGAAATTGCTGTAGCATGAATAGAACTAGATGAGGATGGCAGTATCCAGCAGCAAGAGCGAGTGACGCACGACCAGCACAAGTCTGCGCAAGGATTCAGCTATGCTCAGCTTTTTAGATACAGCAAGTTGTACAGAACTGGGGAGCATTGTTGCGATGTGCATCGCTGCGGTGGCTGCGGCCGCTGTGCTGCAGTGCCAAACGCGGGTCACATGTGGCACGCTTTGGGTGACTCTCCAAATGGGCGATGGCACCTCGAATGGATTCAGCAACAGCCAGGCATTGGAACAGGGTGACGCCATTAAACAACCAGAGCACGGCCTCTTTGAAGGGACGCCTCAGAATTCAGCGGAAGGGCAAACACCATTACCAGATTTGCCATGAAGTGTCAAACAAAGGAGATCGGCGCGCTCTGCCGGGCGCGTGAGTGGGCGGCACCTGGCCTGCAGTTCAGGACATGTGCCTTGAGCCGGGCCCTGTTAGTGGCCAGTGTGGGTCAAAATTCAGTTCTGTTTGCATCCACTTGGGCTGACCGAATGAATCAAATTGAAAACATTGGAATGCTTCAGGCAGCACTTTGTAGCCTCGAGCTGGCCAAGAGCGAAGAAGGCAGGGCAAACCGGGAATCCTTTCCACATAGTGGTTTTTGAATTTGAATGCTTAGCCAGCGGATGGTCGTGTTTTGACTCCTTGATTTCCTCGGCCAGCGTGTTCAATTATACTTCCCATTTGACACAAATCATCGAACATCGCCTATAACCAAACTGTTTGGGAGCAGCAAAAGCGTACTTGGCTTAACGTGGCTCCCACAAAGGCAGTGCAATACGAGTGTGTCTCGGTATGTGTTGCCTGCTTGTTTGCGTACGAGGTTCGCGAGCAAGGGGGATTCACGAGAAGGTTTATGGGGGGGTTTACGAGGGGGCTTCACGAGGGGGTGACGGGGTTCACGAGGGGGGGTTCACGAGAAAGGTTCACGAGGGGTGGTTCACGAGGGTGGGTTCACCAGAAAGGTTCACGAGAGGGTTCACGAGGGGGTTCACGAGAGAGGTTCAGGGGGGTTCACGAACGAGGGGGGTTCACAAACGAGCGGGTTCACGAGGGGTGGTTCACGAGGGTGGGTTCCAGAGAGAGGTTCAGGGGGGTTCACGAACGAGGGGGGTTCACAAACGAGCGGAAAGGTTCACGAGAGGGTTCACGAGGGGGTTCACGAGAGAGGTTCAGGGGGGTTCACGAACGAGGGGGGTTCAAAGGTTCACGAGAGGGTTCACGAGGGGGGGGTTCACGAGGGGTTCACGAGGGGTGGTTCACGAGGGTGGGTTCACCAGAAAGGTTCACGAGAGGGTTCACGAGGGGGTTCACGAGAGAGGTTCAGGGGGGTTCACGAACGAGGGGGGTTCACAAACGAGCGGGTTCACGAGGGGTGGTTCACGAGGGTGGGTTCCAGAGAGAGGTTCAGGGGGGTTCACGAACGAGGGGGGTTCACAAACGAGCGGAAAGGTTCACGAGAGGGTTCACGAGGGGGTTCACGAGAGAGGTTCAGGGGGGTTCACGAACGAGGGGGGTTCACAAATGAGCGGGTTCACGAGGGGGGTTCACAAGGGGGGTTCACCAGTGCTTGTGACCTGTGGCAGATCGTTGTGGGTGCTTTGTGCATCTTTGTGCTTTGTGTTTTGTGGGCTTCGCGGCGAACACGCTCGGTGCAACCTGTAGGCTTGGGCCTGGTGCTCAAGGCGGCAGCTCGCGCCAGTGCCTGGCAAGGGGCGCTGGAGATCTTTTATGAGGCGGCTGAGTTCCCTATTGCCCGTGGCAAAGGAGAAGAACCGGACCGGTAAAGTCGTTTGGGGATGCCAAAAAGGGCCGATGTCTTTTGGTGGCCTTGAACCTTTTGACTGGCCTTTCCGGGCGCTCTCGCCTTGCTTTTTGTGCCGAAGGTTTCGGATCTCGAAATCCGCAGCTTCAACGCCTTGCTGGCCGCCCTGGCGAGGCGTCATCCCCAGCAGGCGAACCCAGCGCGTTTGTGGCGCTCAAACAGACTCGTGGTGCGTGAAAACGGGTGGGATGGCATGTTCTGAACAAAGGAACATGAAAACTGTTTCTACTTCGAGAGGTGCCTGGTTTTTCACCCAACCAGGTGTCCCCTGTCTGCGCAGGCATTGGCTCTCCTTCCAGAGAAATGCCAAAACAGCAGCGTGCAGGCAGGGCCAGGAGAGTTGCTGGACATGCTTGTGCGTTGCACTTCCACCCACTTTTGCAGTCAGCCACAGTATGTGTCAAAGTGGGGAGACCCAAAAAACAGGCAGTTCTCTTTTGGTTTCTCCTTAAACCAACCCCTCACAAGGGTGCCCTCACAAAAAGCACGCACCCCATATTGATTTAACGCCCCCAGTGATGGTGGGATGTTCCTGATCCGCTTCAGGCAGCCAGAAGCACAAGCGAGGGGAAAGGGCCCTTGCCCAGGCCTTGCTCGGCGCGGCAGTGGCCGGAGCAGAGTGGCAGTGCCCCGGCATCTGTGCTTAGAGGTTTGGTCAAAATCTCCATATTGAGCCATATGGTTACCATGGTTCATTTGGAAGGGACATGGTAACTCTCACTAGATTTCCCATGAGCCGGAAGCTCCGTGCGGCCGAAGGCACGCGCTGGTGCTGTTGCGGCGCGTGCCTGGTGACCCCCTGGCCCGCAGCGCGTGCGCCTCTGCGCTGGCGCGGCAGCGGCGGTGGCAGCGGGCGCTGGCCCTGCTCAAGGCGACGCGAATGAACTTGGGGGCGCCAGGACCAAAAACCATCGCACATTGCGAACTAATGCAAGTTAAACTTCGTACTTGAGCCATGAGCGGGGGACATACCGACGACTAATCTTAAAAAACTGGAACTAAAAAAGTTTTAGTGCTCGACCAGGATCAATATCTTGAAGAACTACAAGTCAATTCAATCGATTTCCATGACGATTTCAATGCCCCTAAACAAAGTTGTCCTTTTGCTTATAACCTCAATTTGCATGATGCTTCATAAGGGGGCCATGGCGCAATGGCAGCGCACCCGCCCGCCTAGGGCTGCGGGAGGTTGCAAGTTTAAGTCCTCTTGGCCCTAGGTTTGTCCTGGTTGTGTTGTTTGGTGTTCGAAAGTTGGAACGTTTTGTCGAAGATAGAACATAACATTCCCAAGCATTGACCCAAGCGCAGCACGAGCATTAGTAAGCTGTGGAGCAATTATATAAGGTTCGCTACAAAGCGTTCTTTGTACAGGATTGTGTTGTAGGATAGTTCAGCGGAATCCAGGGTTGTCGGCTAGTATTACTCGCCAGCTTAAAAGACGGTTTCACAAGGCTAATGCTAGTACTACTTGTAGTGCTAGTAGTGCTAGTAGTACCTAGTAGCATAAGTAGTACATAAGTAGTATTACTAGAAGCAGCGCAGCAAAAAAACAAAAGAAACGCTCCATCGATAGGAAAATCCTAGATCGTCATGGAAATCAAGCTGTTTGCTGCCAACTCAGCCGAATCCGGGGCTGTCTCCCGTTTGTTTTTGGTGTGTGCGTGTGTGGTTTGATAAGCGCTTTTTGGTCGTCTGTAGATCAATATTAGTTGTCGGCTGAACTGGTACTGTTAGTCGTCGGTTCGGACCCTTCTCCTTGAGCCAACCAGCGAACCCGCTAGCAAGTCCTTGAGCCAGCCCCTGTCCTTGACAGTGTTAAGCTCTCCCATCCTGCCAGTCGCCGCCGTGGGATGCTGGGCTGCTGACGGCGAGCGGGCCGGGGGGTGCAACTGTTTTGGGCATTGTCGGGTTTGTAGGGGGGACCCTATCAACTCCTGCGAGGTTTCAGGGCAACGCAGTCCGGCTTTGAACTCGCAAGCGCAATCTGCTTCCAGGCCACAGATAGACCGGCAGAGTGGCCGTTGAAAGGCTGAGCAGAGATGCTCTTCGTCGTGAGAAGAGTGAGAAAGTGTCCAGTCTGATTGTCTCTGCGAAAGTCTTGCATTGGTTTGCGTCTGCTTGCAACGCTGGGCTTGAATCGAGTACTGCCATGTTTTGTCATCCCTCTTGATCACCTGCACTGAACCTCCGTTTTTGCTGGGTTGGGTTGTTGACGCACCAAACCACGTTTTGCGAAAGGTCCATTCCAGTTGCAGTGGGCTGTAGGCGCCGCCCATTTAAGACCTCAAGGGCGGTGTATGGCAAGTAGAAGAACAAGCGAGACCCCCATAACTTGCCACAATGCTTGCTCTAGATCAAGGGTGTTGGAGATTCCGAGAGATTCAGATAGCTCCACATTTCTCATTTCTTGCACATTTCTCACGTCCCTCACATTCAATGCCACCCCCCCCCCTCCCGGCACCGTTTTTCCGGAGGCGGTTTTGGGCGCGCTGGCGCGGGAGAAGCGCTGGCGCCAGGCGATGCAGTTGCTGGAAGCCGATGGCTCGGAGGAGAGGGGTGTGACCTGAAATCCTCAGGCGTCAGGTATGTGCCAGGGTCAAAAGAAGCAAGATGAACCCTCTCGGAAAATTGCAGACAATTGTAAGGATCTGGCGAACTGAGTTCCTCAAAACTTAGATTGCTTAGTTGATGTGTCCGTAAATATGTCCCTTGTTGTTGGCTGCTTCATCGCTTACCAGAAGGAAACAGGCTAATCAATGAGTTTTCAACCACCCGCATTATTTTCCAGCTTTGGTGCTGAAGAAAATCCAATAATTGGGAGGGATGCTGTCGGGGAAATGTAGTTGTATGTCTTGCTTGTTTGAGTTGACTTTGGCCTGAACTTTGTTGAATAGCGCCGCAA